TTTTAAAGATTGCATTCTAGAGCATAACTCGAGAAAACTGTCAGAGCAGTTCTTCCAGCCATCCTAAATTTAAATTTGAAGGTCTAGGTGGAGGAACATCTCTCCCTTATTTACAGTCTCTTTACAGCAAAACAATAACTATAAGACTCAGGATACCAATCCTTCAAGCTTTCTGTTCATTTTGCTATTCCTACTGTAACTTGACTACAAGATCGAACATGAATTACATGACACAGTACTGTGCTATTGCACATTCCTCACCAGATTTTTGTTTTGCATCAAGGTTAGCTGATCAGCACTTAATGCATGGATATTTGGTTTTCCCCCCAGGTAAAACTATACTTTAATTCAATGCCAATTATCAGGGTTCCATATAGTACAATCTTATTTTTTTTTAAACCTAAATTTGCAGAAGAGTAGGAATACATGAGAAAGTGCATGATGGCAGTGCCTAAGCTTTGTCATGCTAACAGCTTTAGGGTAACAAAAGTCCTCCTGTAATTCACTCAGTCTATTCCACACTTTTAGTGGATTTAACTTCGAGAAAGAATAACCTTATTAAAAGTCCAATTATATTTCTCTTATTTTGCAACAAATAAAAATACAAGTCTGACTCATCTCCCTTGTCTGGGGATGTGATACTTAGCAAAAAACTGTTTTAAAACGGAGCAGTAAGTTCTCAAGCAGCATCTACTACTGCACATACCTTATAGCTATTGGCTACTGTTAATAAACCTAAAATCATCCACGTTGCTTTGTTCCTGAATACACAACACTTGCGCATCCCCAAGAGGTGTATTTCGATTTAACGAGTCGAGCAAAGCAGCTCCACAGACGATGTGCCCCACCGCGTGGCTGGAGCTGGTACCACAGAAGCCATCCTCCTGGTTTTGTCCCAGAGACAAGTGCAAACTTCCTGCTTTCCTGCCCCAGAGACGAGTTTCAGTCAAGCCTCGAACTACCCCACAGTCTACTTGCTAGAAGAGAAAAGAATTACGCAGTAACCACTCAAACTCCATAACAAAGATTGTTGTTGTTGTTAAGCCCCATCAGATTTCTTCGAAAGTGAGCTAAGAACCACTCTCTCATCTGGTCTCTCACCTCCCTCAAATACCTGGCAACAACTTCTGAACTTCTGACTGGCAGATGATGCATCTCAAACAGCTCTTTTCATATAAAATCTTTGAAGAATTACCATACTCATCTACTATAGTTTGAAATCAATTTTATAACTAGACATTGAGGTATACAAGTAAAACAAAACATCCAGAGACAAATTAAAATACTAGATCCATAATCAAGATGCAATAAATAATGCCAAAAAATGCATACAGATTTATTTATTATGACCCACCTTTTTATTTATAAATAGAACAAACCTCTTTGGCTTGAGCTCCTTCCTGAAATACTCATCCTGCAAACCCAACCTGAAAACTGGAAATTTTAACAATTTTTTTAATGGTGTAATCCATCGAAAGAGTTCGATGGGGAAAGTTAACTTTCTTTTATATTCTCAGTATATGCAAAACACACATTGCTTCCCATGATGCAAAAAAAGTCATCAGCAATTTACCACTGGTTTGGTGTAGGGAAAAGCTTACAAAGTAGCAGCAACAGGAATTAGTGTTACAACTGGGAAATCAGATTTGTGGTATAGGCTCACGTAAGCTCTAAACCCAAAAAGTTGTTCAAAGCAAACAACCATTTATACTGATCACTCAATTTGCTATCTTTAGCCTAACACTTTGCACAGAAGATATAAAAAGCTATTATCAAGAAGGATCCTGATACTCCAGAGTATAATCGGTGATTTTGTCACTTGGATAATCATAACAGGAAGGACAGTGGTTAAATGTTTCTTCTTAGATGTCATTGATCACGACCACCTTAGGAGTTTCCTGTTCATGACTGTCTATTGTTTCAGGTGCCCTTCTCAGTCCCTAGGTAATAGGCAACTGAAAGCAAGCCAAGCTCACTGCCTCCTAGTAACCTGGAACTATACTGATGAAATTTAGTTTTAAATAGTTCATATTAATTATATTAAAATCATTACTTCAGACATAGTGGATTAAACATTAAAACTTTTGTTAGTGTTCCAGCAAATATGAAATTCTGTTTAACATTGAGAGATCTGTCCTAATTTTTTCAATTTTTTCCTCCTCAAGCAAGTAGTAGAAATATGGGAATCCAATTTTAATCACAGAATTTCAGGATCACAGCAAGACAAACATCAACTATGACTACCGAAAGTAAAACAAAAATCAATCTACTCCTACACTGAACTAATGCCCCAATACGAACAACACTGGCTCATCTCAGTGATCCAGCTTGTAGGACATTGGATTCTTGGGGAAGCGTCATTCACTCATTGAACACTCTGTTCACTCTGAACTAGAATTACCCACACAATCGTTAAGAGTATTTACCTCATACACTCAAACCTATAACCTAAGACGATTTAGGCTCATTGCTAGAGCCTTGGTATAAATAACATGCCTTACATTTCAACACTCCTACAGGTATTCAATAACTAGATATCTAAAGAGGCTACAGTTTGGCTCATCAGTAAGCCCCACTAAGTCTGTTAAAGAGGTTATCAAATTAAGCCGTTGTTTCAAGCATTACATTCTTCAGAGTTTAACTTTACATTATTTGTCAGGCAGCCAAGTGAGCTCTAATCAGAAAGAGGCATCAAGTTTTTTTGCCTTCTTTGCTGGAAAGGCAATAGCTTGCACCACAAGGACAGTTACCAACACACCACAGGGCAGTGAAGACAGAATCACTACACCTGTTTCCAGTGTTACAACCTGGAAATTGTCTGGAAAAGCTACTGGCCTAGGGCAGCATAGTCAATTCATATTCTCCCAGTATGAGTCCTCAGCTGGAAGCGTTTCCGATTTTGGCTACTTGCAGGGATGATCGAAGTGTTACAGGACACACGCAAGGAAGAACTCCATGGGATGCTCGTGTAGCAGCTCGTGCTAGGAAAAAGGCAGACTCAAGGCAAATTTTCAGCTCAGTGCAAAATTCACACATACACAAAACCAGCCTAATAAATTAACGCACCCATGTGAAAACAAACTGATCAAAGCACAGCAGATTTAGCTTTTCAGTTACTTGTAAGACTGCTATCAATCCTGGTTTAGGGGCCCAATCAACCATTGCTAAAACCTGGGCGAAAGTGACCGGTACTACCAGTCCAGGTCAGGAAAACTGTCCTCAACCAGTGTATTTGTTTTAGGAAGGGGAATGCAGAACAGTTTGTCTCAGCACCGTTTCCCACACTAGTTTAGAATAAGACTGTATTAGCAACACAACAGAACCATTTCTAAAGAAAAAAAAAAAGACAAGTTTTTTCGTATTGTAACTTGCAGGCCTGAGAGGCAGGCTTCAACTTCAACCTTCTTGGCACAGATTCCCAGTTGTCACAGAAAAGCGTTCGATGTTTCTAAAAAAGATCCTCTGTTGAAATCCTGAGAGATCCAAGGGCAACCCTAGTTCTTCTAAAGAGACCTTTTAACACTCCTTCATTTAAAGGTTCAGTGAGAAGTAGCAAAACATTTCCTCTGCCAGTTTTTCAAGTTAATGCTTTGACCTTACCTATTTTGCACAGGCACCAGTTCTGCAGCTACTCTTCCAGTACAATCCTCTGAACTGGGACACTTAAAAACCTACAGCTTTATCACAGAACTCAGAACAGTAAATGGCCCAGCACCTCCTCCTGCTCTCAAAAGTTGAAGCTGAGCATTGTCTGTAATGAGTAGTTACTGAATACCAGTCTTAAGTCAGATATTTAAAAAAGTCAAATGGTGTGTAAGGAACACAAGAACTACAATGAATCTGCTCCAACCATAAAGCAGTCCACCAAGCAGGACAAAGTAGGTCTTGTGCCAAAGGATTTGTCTCATCAATTCAGTCCTGATAAGGGTAGAGCTCTAACACAGACTGATGTATTTTGTACAGATGTTCTTAGAATCAAAGTTTTGTTTTCCTTGTTATTTGACTAAATTTTATTTTGCCTAAACCCAACTAGTGAAAAGCTTCTTAGAAGTGTTATAGTTAAGGAACTTTGACTGAGGAACCTGCACATGCATATTAAGGCTACCTGCATTATTTATAACAATTAACAGGGACTAAATGTGACAAACCAAGTATAATGCTGCAACAAGAGGACTCAATTCCACTCCCAAAACATTTCTAGTTGAAGAGACTGCTTTACAGCAGGACTGATATCACCACCTACTTCAGAGATGAGCTTTTGTGGACTGGGAAGTAACACTGAAGATTACAAAGGAAAGCTCACAGCAGTTATATTTAGCAGCTTTAAACAGCTGTTCCACTTTTCATAAATCTTTTCATGTGTTTTGTAGGAATTCATATTAAGGCTAGTACCTGTGCGCAGCAATAGTTGTAAAGCTGATACCATACACGCACTATCAAACACAAATACAGCTTCAGTGCTGCTGGGTTTTCTTCTCCTAAGGCGTATCAATACTGCAGAACTACTAATGTTTTATAAATCAATTTGTGTTTTTAAGCAGTGCATTTTCAGAAGTCAGACAGCTTGAAGACAAGAAAGCTACCACACCTAGTAAAGGAGCAGCATAGTCAAGCTAGCAGTATTAACCAAGATATGCACAGGTAAATTAGTAAACACTACAGGCAAGAACCTAGAACATGAAGTTAAAGCAAGATGATGCAGCAAGAAGATTCAATGGAACATTAAGTGGAAGTTTGTCTCTTTGCAAACTAAGCATATGACATTCCTTATTTTCCTGAGTTTCAGGTCCTCAATACCACAACTCAGCTTATTAGCTAGCTAAAAAAACCCACCAAACAACTATAAACCAAACCACAGAACTCCAACTTGCACTAACTTAAAAATGATTCCTTTACAGTATTGCAGAATCCTAGTCCACACTTTTTGCTACCATGTACCAGAAAAGTTGAATAAATATGCAAGTAGGAGTTATGTACACAAACATGCAAGTTAAAAGTAATAAATGAAATGCTCCACTTTATTAAGAAACCAAAAATACAAAACTGAAGAGTTCAAGGCTTTATGTACTCAAACACTACTGAAAAATGGAATCTTAAACTTAGTCTTGTTCACTAGCAGTACTAATATTGACCAAGATTAATCTCTACAAGATAGTGTTAAAAGTTGATGTTTTCCACCATTTGTGCTGTAGTAAGCCAGTTTCAAATTAAGAACTTGGTGCAGTTACAGTCCAGTCTAGATATTCATATATAAATGTGGTTTCAGTTTATATGCCATTTTGTAGCCAAGAGCTTTTTAGCTCAAACTACAGCTGTTTTCTAGTTAGTGAATTTTAAGATGCTTAGTTTGTTTAATTGGCTATAGCTCTACTGAATGATGTTCCATGCAAAGATACAGCTTTTAAGTCACCTAACAAACCTAGATGCCACTTGTTTCTGGCTACTAAAATCAGAGCTCTGAAGGCATATTGTGGAACATATTAAGAGAATTGAGAGACTGTATCTAATGGTAGCATATGCAAGCTGAACTACACACTTTTCTCTCAAAGACACCCTGCAGACCACAAACATTCCCATTTGCATGGGAATGCCGATCCAGTCACACTTACCAGTCAAGTGCTCACTGCTTTAGTTTTACCTGGCAGTTAGTTCAGCTTCCCTCAGGTGCTTTAATTATATGCTTCAGGAAACCAAGGAAAGGTTAACTGTTAGCTCTGATTTAGCAAGAGGAGCATAACATGAGAAGCAGGAGGGAAAAAGGAGAACAGGATGAGAAATGCAGTAGACAACCAAGTATTAGCCTCAATTGAAGAACAGAAGACACTTTGAAGAGTTTTCCTAACAATGCATGAAAGTTCACTTGCTTAGATACTTGAAATACAACTTTATTATCTAAACAAAAAAGAATGGGAATGACAGAAACAAGATTTACCACTTAACACTCTGATGTGACTGCAGCAGTCTTATATTTGAAACTCAAAAGGGGAAGTAATTGCAGTCCAAAAACCAGCTAAATATGCAGGTCCAAAATATGAAGTTTTTTGTTTTGTTTTTTTTTTCATTTTGTTTTGTTTTTGTGGGTTTTTTTGTTTTGTTTTGTTTTTTTTGTTTTTTTTTTTTTTAAACTGCCACATTCACTCCGAAGCCCATTCATCTCTTTCAGCATCCCAAAGATTAAGCACATGTTCTGCTCAGCTAGATAATAAAGTGGCAAACACGCTGCACCACTGACATCACAGGACAGTTGCCTATAAAACTAGACTTCTGACGCTGGGCTCCAGCTTCATCCCTCACAGGTCATCATCCTCATCTGGCAGTGCAGTGGTTTGAGCAATCTGGAACAAAGAAGATACATTTAAGAACTGCTCTTCAGTTATTTGCCCCAGGAGTCCAAACAGTAGTTACAGGCACTCATTTGACCTTTGTCACTTACCTGTAAGTCTTGCTCATACTGTGCTGCCAGTGCTGGGTCCATAACAACTTCAGGTGGTGCAAGAGCAGGCATGGCAACAAACTCCAAGTTAGGATCTCCAATTAGCTTTCTAGCAAGCCAGAGGAAAGGCTTCTCAAAGTTGTAGTTACTCTTAGCTGAAATGTCATAATACTGAAAAAAAGAGTACATATTATATATTAAAAAAAAAAAGACATCTCTAACTGATACTTAGGGCAGACCAAGATTAACACGCACATCACCAGCTCTACTTTTACCTTAGTATTCTGACTGCACGACTTCTGTTTTTGGTCTCAGAAACAGTTACGATTTAAGTGTCTAGAAATGTAGTTTCAGGCAAAGAGGCAAAAATTGGTAACTGAAAAGATACCCAAGCTGATCAAAGATAAAACTTTCAGGAGGCAGTAGTGCATTTAACTCTTTCCTGTGACTTAGATCTACTTTAGTCTCATTTCTGTGTCATCTGATGAGATTCTGAGCAATGAAAGCCAAATACACACAAGCTCTTTAAGAACTTATCATAGCTTCTGCTCAAGACCAGTGATGAGCATCTTTAGCATCATCACCTCCCACTTCCCTGAAGTTCAAACAGCCAACAGATGTAAAGTTGAAATACTACAACCTGTAGTGACAAGGGTAGAACACTCAATTACCACAGAGAACCCAGCTGCAGTCAACAGACCCAACAAATTTGTTTCCTACAAGCTCATGCCAGCATACCTGGAGATTCTTCTTCCTGTGGAAGACAATGGATTTTGCCTTGACTTTTCTGTCCTTAATATCCACTTTGTTGCCACACAACACTATAGGGATGTTTTCACATACTCGTACCAGATCTCTGTGCCAGTTAGGTACATTCTTGTACGTAACTCTTGATGTTACATCAAACATTATGATGGCACACTGAGCTGAGAGAGAAGAATAGTCAAGAGTTACACAAGGAGAGTAAGCACTTGCTTTTAAGATGGCAAGTAGAAGAGCTACCCATAGAAATCCCACACGAGAATTAAGTCTCTGCATTAACTTTTCCCTCTCAGCTTAACAGTTCTGAAAGCCCATGTCCTGTTAACAATTATGATGCACAAGTCAACAAAACTCAGCTCACAACAGCGTCATCTCACATCTTTAGTGCCCAGCTAGTTTTATCAACACAACTGTCCCACTGGGTAACAGTGTTGCACTGTAAGAGAATATACAAGGATAACAAAATCAACTTTGATTTACACAAATATTCTACAGAAACTAGTTAACACCTGTTTAACTAATCTCATATCTTATTGAGGCTTTCAGGTAGGTTGAGATGTGGACTGCAAGCTCCTGGGATGCCCTTGTCCAGAACAGTTATTCAAAGAACACAGGGACTTGACTTGATCCTGATACTTCTAAAGGAAAAGCAACAATGTCAAATTCTAATAATCCCCTGCAAATTTTGAAGACACACTGGAGACTGAAGTACACAGAACAGAGCTGGGCCAAGCAAGTGTAAGTGGCACTGTCAGTACTTGTTTAGAAAGACAACTAGAAGACTGGCATGGAGATGTAAAACATCATCTTATCTAAAAATCTTTAAGTCCTTGCCTCAGCACAGTACATTAATACAGATATAAATCTGTACTAACTGAAACACTTTCACCTCTTAAGCATGGAGTTTCATCAGCAATATCTTGTAATTCAAGGTGCACCATTACTCTTCACTAATACCAAAGCCTGCAATGGCATACTGAAACACAATCTTAGAATATTCCATCATCACAAGTTGCCTAGCAAAGGCAATTACCCTACCTACAGGAAGAGTTTGAAGACCCAGAAACCAGCTCATCACTGCAAGTCATACTGACAGTTTTCAGAGTGGCCAGCATGAATGGAATGGAGGACTGAACTGGAAGAGGTACAGAATATTCATACACATACACACATCTTACCTTGGATGTAATAGCCATCTCGCAGACCACCAAATTTCTCTTGGCCAGCTGTGTCCCATACATTAAATTTAATAGGGCCTCTGTTAGTATGGAACACCAGAGGATGAACTTCAACACCCAGTGTTGCTGTAACAGTAAGAAAAAGCAATGCACTTAGCAAGTCATGAACTGCACTTTTGATTGTAATGTATTAGATCTCAAATGTTTCTTCAGACATACCTACATACTTCTTTTCAAATTCACCAGTCAAATGACGTTTTACAAATGTTGTTTTACCAGTGCCACCATCACCAACCAGGACAAGCTGTTGATAGATAAAGGCAACAAAGTCAGAGCAATACACTTTTAGAGACTTTTTTGATCATTTTAGTGTAAATACTAATTATTAGTACAAAGAACTTGGCCCTACAAGATGCTGTAAACAGAAGACTGAATTCCCCATGAAGAGACTCACTGTACTGGGGCCCAATCTGTTAAGCCTATCACACTGTAACTCGTCAGACTTATGTAATTCCTGTGGCTGAGAGCTACAATGCACTTTGAATATGGTTCCCCCGAACTACAAGTGACCGAATTTGAAGTATTTGGGGTTTTCAACCTGAATGTGACCATATGTGGAATCCCTCATCTAAGCACCCAAACTGAAGAAACCCACCACAATCTTACAATTAAAAAAAACCCCAAGAAGCCACACCACCCAAGGAAGTGCACTACTAACAACTGGAATACTCTGGCCAAGTATTTTAAGAAACATAAGTAACAGCCTTTCATGAACAGTCTCAAAGACTTCTGGCTGTTAAGGTAACAAAGAAAAACCCCACACAAGACACCAGAAAACTGTGTTCTGAAGCATTTCAAGTTTTCTTCCCTATACAATTAACACACAACAGAAAATAGGCTATTCTAATTCACTCTAAGCACTTTTTGCTGTGAACTTCACTTCTGAAACTTAAAAGTCGTTCTATATACAAAGCATTACTGAAATTTATTATACTAAACTACAAATAGCATCAGACTGACACAGTGTGACAGAATCTTTTTGAACAAGTTAGATGCAATACTAGAATAAACAAACCGCTCTGTTAAGGACAGACCAGGACTTCAAAAGCCAACCTACCATCCACGTTGGCACTCGAGAGTCGCTCACGCTACTTTCCTACTGAACGAAAGAAATCGACCAAGACCAAACCGCCGCCTTACCTTAAACTGCACTTGGGGCTCTCCTTGGGCGGCCATGCTGGGTCTGCAGGGGAAATGGCAGCATGTGAGCTCACAACGGGCGAGCTGATTCAAGGCCCAGCCGGAAGGGGCCGGGCGCCGTTTTCGGTTCCCAAATCGCCCCCGAAGGCGCGTGCTCTGCGCACCAGTCAGCGCGGCCGGCGCAGAGGCC